GGAACTCATGATCTGAACTGGCAAGTACAGCAAGGCTTAACGTATGGATGATCATCTTTCAGGAACCAATCCCTTTTTCAAGGGAGACTATAAGCCAGATATTCGAACAGCTTTTTGGTGGGAAGACTTGTGGTTAAAGTAAGTTTCCCACAGACGGTGCCAATTTGTTGACCTCGAAAAATGGCTTCGACACGTGGCCAACAGAATAAGTCTTCGAGTCAGCTCTTCCCTGTACGCGTAGCACGACGTTAGTCACCCGTGGCCTTTCCCGAAGGATTTGGGAGTGGCCTCGAGCACTCCGACGGTCAAGTCAGTTTATAGTTCAACCGGAAAAGGTTCGCTGACTGTAGAACATTCGTCGGGAAGTGGTTGATAAAGTGTATAGTGATAAAAGTGCCAATATTTAAGGGAGAAGATAATACTCAAGTTTGCAATGTAGTAGGAGAAAATCTTGATTTGAATCCTTCTTCTGGCGCAAGTAGGGAATATTTATACTAAGGATGGGAAGAAGAAAGTCGTCGGATGATAAGACACGTGTTACCAGATCCTCAAGGCTCATCCCATCCTAGGTGTCAATCTGTCCCTTTATAGGTTGGCTGGCATTGAATATATCTGACAAAGGTAGCTGAATTAACCGTTTGGATCCTGCCACACGTCCCATCAGTCAGGGCTTTGACTTTGGAAAGATCTTTATACAAGAAATCTTTGATGGACAAGGCGAGGCAGGAAAGACATTACAGCGTTGCAGAAGCAGAGTGCGAGCCTTTGCATCCACTGTGTAATTGCGGATGAGTTTAATTCATTCGCTGACGCGTGTTCAGTTCGTTCCTCACGTAATTACTTCAGCATGTACAATCAACTCGTCACATGTGCAATCACCTCGATTGACGCGTGATGTGCACCTCTACTAACACGTGGTGGGTGAGGTGACGGGTCTGATACAGACCCGTAACAAGTTCCATTAGAATGTGTGTTTGAGGAAAATGTATTTTTAGAATAGTGATTTTTCTAAGAATGTGTGGCTAAAAAGAAGTAAAAATTTTGAGTTTACACGTAATATTATTTTATTAAAAAATATGTTACAAAAAAAAGAAAAAAAATGCATAAAAATTTAATTCAAAGCCATAATTACTTATTTTTCAAGGGTCTTCCGAGCGGGTTTTTAACATTCTTCAATTATGCATTCTTGGGAATGAATATGTTTCATTGTCAAGTTCACCAAGATGAATCGACCATCTTAACCAGCTAGAGTTTTAAGATAATCGATTCATCCGAAAATCCTCATTAATATAGGAAAAGATCTTAGATAGTAAGAAGATAGATTTCTTCTACCTATGGCTAAGGTTTAGCACTGATCAAGTCTTCAATGCTTATGGCTCGATTAACCCTTGTGCTAATTTAAAAATGTGCGTGCACCTAGTTGGCTTCGTAGAGATTCCATGTATTAGCTTATCTGTTTGGCACATAAGTCAAATCTAACCGCTATATATTGTGTTTCGGGATCATCTTAAAATGTCAATATTGTTTAGAGTAATAGTATTAACTCTCATATGTTATTTAGCGTATTTATATCTAATGATGTTCGATTACCATCAACTCATCCCTAAAAGATATCATACTCTCAGAACATCAATCTTAAAATTCAATAATTCAATTGAACTTTTAGATAAAAATACTGCTCATTTGAGCTTAATGACCTCTAACACTAATGGTTTATATGTTGGTTAAGCAATGTGTAATTTTATAATTGACACTTCAACCCTTTAGTTAATTCTCTTGGTTCAGATATAGCAAACAACATGATCACTATTTGCTGTGGAAATTATGGCCACAAGGTAAGGCGGGCCATTTTAGCTTTGACTAGGTTGAAAGCCCACTCCTAGATGTGGGCCTTTCAAGATCCAGGACTAAATGAGTCTCAGGCCCAATCCATTAAGACCGATTTACAAAGTATTTAAAAATGACAAATACCTGCTAGCTTAGAACGTCAAACAAAGAGAAATATGAAATAAAATCTGTCCTACGTACTAAATATGTCATAAACTACTAACATAATTTTAATTGACAATCCAACAAAATATAGCAGTTGGAAAGAGTGATAAAAGATCTGAATCTTCAGTACACAGTTTATTTATATTCTAGAAATGATCAACAATGTAAATCATCTTGCAAAGCAGTCTCTAATTCACCAAAGATAACGAGAAATATAACCAAAGGCTAAGGCAAAGTTGTACAATTTGAAAAGAGCTAATCGATCATTAAAATGCCAAAAAAGGGTCAAACTTCATCAACTTCACTTCCAGATATCTGGTCTTCATGACCCATTGAATACGCGCTTCCATCCGGTCCCAACACCTTAAACCTACTCAACGCAAGAAAATTCTTGAAACAGAATCTTTAAGATAAATCAATGCAATTTAGGATGGATCGATGAAAGGACATCAATTCAAATCCTAGATTTTCGAATTGAGAAAGATATTGAGAGAAAGCTAGTCACGTAATTTGATAAGTTCATGTCCTTGAAAGTTTCTGAAATGAATATTCCTAATAAACCAACCCAACTTCAATTACTAAGTTTCTTATCAATCGCTAAAAGCAAAGTCATTGATACAAGGGTCAATGTCGTACTAGCTATACATCAATTTGAACATGCCCTCAAAGTGAAGGCATCAAGTGGACAACTACTCAACAAATGATTGAGCAAACTATCCAGAATCTTATGCAGAATAAATACTCTACAAGCATTGATGATATCTTACCTCAAAATCCGCTTGGATGGTGAGCAGCACTAACTGAAGTAGTGGCGTCGCAAATATAGGAATAAGGCTGTGGAGGCAGCCATAGTATAAGGGAACATTGTCCAGATTCCCCGTAACAACACATATTTTACTCAAATAACGAAGTTTAGTCATTGTAGAAAAAGACATTAGTGGGCGTACCACTACAGTCGCAACAGTTGCAAGGGCGAATACTGGTCCCTCTCTTAGCAAGAACCCTATTCCTAACTGCAATTGAAAAAGTAAATGAGTCGAAGAAGGCAACCGATTATAGATCCCATCAAATAGGTGAATCCTCAGTTTCAATGAAAAAAATTACCTAGATATAAACTATTTGGAAAACGACGTTAGGGGAAAAAAATGATGATGAGTGGCCACTGAAGGAGAGACATCCGTGTTGGAGGACGGGGAGTGGACGTTCAGGAGGTCTGCCTACTGCACAAAAACTTTTAGGCGACACAACCATATCAATTCAGCTGTAAAACTCACTGCCATTTTTTTTCTTTTCATTTTCTTGACGGATTTACCCCTACTCGTGTTATATGCCAATGAATGAATTTTTTTCGACATCTTTTCCCACCAGAGTTGTGTTTTGTAATGCATAAGACAACGCACCTTCTTTTCAAATTTAGCAAATATGGTTGTGATGTTATCTTTCATGCATTGAGAATTTCGATTTTAGTGGGAACCAATTCGATATGACACTTAAGCTGGAAAAACATTTCAATTATTTGTGCATGTGGGCTAATCATGTTATAATGTAATGTGCCCAAGTATCAAGCAAAAGTTCAATCACTTGAATCGGAAGAGTTATCAAGCCACCACAGCAGACACCAGCAAAGAAACAATCTGGCGATATGTCCTGAAATCATTCCTACTTTAGCCAATTTTCTTTATTGCATAGACAAATTCTTTGAGTTGGCATAAGTGCATTGAACTCAAAGCGTTTACAGAATCTAGAATTTTAGTCAAACTAATGCAAACTCACAACTTTACATAACACAGAAGAGGTGCTGAACGCAAAATATTGGAAGATAGAAATGCATGGACGATTTCAGTATGATAAAGAAAGATTTCAGTATAACGAAGAAATGATTGCTTACCATGGCCCCTGCCAAAAAAGCTGTAGGATTTCTCACTCCAATAGAAAATCGTTCAACTGCACATAAATCCCCATAAAAATTGATTGTGAAGGCAACATAAAAAGCCACAAGGAAAACAGGAAATGTATAAAAAAGCCAGCAATTGGTTAATGATTTTGTTTTCATCAACTGCATTGATCATAAAATGTAAGCAAGGAAAAAAAAAAGTGGTGGGAGTGAAAGAAGAAGAAAAAAGAGAGAACACTTGACACGATGTTTTGAACATAATTTTACAAGTAACATATATTACTCATCTCATTCTCAGATATACTTGAATAAAAATTGGAAGGGCTATTTTCAACTCACAATTGATAAGAGAACATACAAGATTCAGAATATCATTTGAACTTACCAAATCCAATGAGATTTCCATATTTTTTTAACGGTGTGTGTAATGTCCATTGCTTTCTCTTTGCCAATCCCTAACTACAGTACCATGAGGAACATAGATAAGAGACAATCATATATATACAATAAAATGTGCAGGTTCGTTAAACATAATATGCCTGCAGAACTTATGCAGGTCAAAGTATCCAGCAGAACAAACCTCAGAAGAAATATCATCGGACACCCCAGATTCTCTAAAAATCTTCCCAACGCAAAATGGTATCATATCGCTGATGCAAACTCCCCTGACGATTATGTGTCCCGTCTAAGGTGAACGAAAAAGTTAGGATTTTTTACATAGAAAGTAAAGTATCTAAACTTTTATCGAAATGTATGAAGCATAAGAATGAGCTAGGAACATTATAAAATTGTCAGATACAGTAATATTGAGATAAAAATTGCCTATGGAATGTAATATTGGCTCATGCAGAGTAATTCAAAGGGAACAGGAAAAAAACTGACCAGTAAACCCACACAATGGTGGATAGTATGTACGGTGCATTTCTAGAAAGCGAATCAACTAAAATCTGCCATGTCTCATCCAAAGAAAGCATGCTTGCTAAGGTGATGCCAACCTGCATCATTTTAAATGGCTTGATGAAAGGAAAAGACAACCAAAGGGTGTTAAATATAGGAGTATATGAAACAGAGATACCAGCGCAAAAGACAGAGCCATATATTTAAAGCCTCTTTACTAATGAAAAGTCCGCAACCTGCAGCCAAAAGTAGATCCATCTGAAACCAGAAAACTAGTGAAGCTTCAAAAAAAAAATCATTCTGTGTGAAGTATAGAATAATGTGTATGATAAATGAAAAATCTCGGGATAATAACAGTATAAGAGATCGTGGCATCAAAAAGAAGCCAAAACCAGAAAATCAAACACTAGGAAGTTGGAGAAGATAATTACACACACAAACTGAACTCTTAAACGATGAAACATGGAAGGCAAGGTAAGAAAATATAACTGATATTCTAGTAAATCAAGAAGAAATAGACATATACCCTGGGGCATATTCTGGTAGTAAAATTCTGTATCCAAAAGCCTTGAAACTAAAAGCACCAGCAGGTGCGGCTAAAGTGGAAGAGGATGAACCATCACGCAGAAACTGCATTCCAGGAGATGATCCCTGATTAGGCTGCTTCATACCAACTGATATCAGTGTAATCACTGCAGCTATTCCCAGGGCTATCCCTAATTTGGAAAGAAATGAACTTCCAGTACTTGCAGTTTGTTGTAGACTTCCTGAGGCAATCTCAGAAGTTATATGTTTGTCCTTTAGATGTAATTTTAGATGTTTCTGACTCGTAGCTTTCAGTACTTTCATGCTGAAAGCTTTTGATCCTACATTAGAATGAAAGATGAAAATCTTTAGGCAACAAACTATTATTACGGGCCTTCTGGTACAAGATACAATAATGCAGGCATAACATCTAAAAATTTTATTTGAGAAATAATTTATATGCCTTCTGTTAGATTGGAATTCTTTCTACTTTGATCATGCCATTAGAATGGCCATTTAATTAAATGAAAACTTCTTAACTCACCTTTTCCTAAAATCCCCCTTATTAAAATAATGGTGAAATGCATTCAGATTAAACAAAAAACATTTTCATCGGTATGACATGTAACAATTCTGGGAACCTTTCATTTTCCACTTCTCTCTCTCCCCTTCCCTCATTTTAGAAACACCCCACAAGTCATATCACCTTCTCTCCCCACTTCACCCCTACTCCCTAAACCATCAGTTTATTTCGCCTCACCCAGTCCATATATTTGTTTGACACCCGAGTTTTCACCAACACTGGTAGTTACCTTTCCTATAGACATCTAGAATACAGGAAGCTTGAGGATAATACATGTGGAGTTCATGAGTTTGAGTTGGAATTTATGCAGGTGATATCTAGGAAGAACTAAACTTCCAAGAACGATACTTAATTTGAAATAATTTAAAGCAATTTGGACAGAGATGAAATGGATAATTTCCCATGATTTTATGCCAATGAATCTGCTTCAGCAGTCATTGACTCATGTTCTTGTTAGCCGAAATCATCATTGTGGAGATCTCACTTGATACAAATGTAAACTTAAGAATTAAAAATATGCGGAGGTATTTTATAGTGACTTAAGTAAGGAAACAACTTAATTTGAATACAAGATTACAAATTTTATTGATTGAGCATGCAGGCCTTGCATAGACATCTCGATATTCTTTTCTGTTATACACCTAATGCCAGTTAACCAACCCGTATTTCTCATTTCTAAGTTTTCTAATTGGCCAGTCTAATCCAGTTTCACCAATAAAATAACTCTAAATTGCTTCATTCATAACATATCCAGTGGTTCATCTCAACTAGTGTCTGACAAGATCATATAATTTTTATCACTTCCACCAACCAGGAAATCTAAAAATTTCAATTTTAATCAAATTGAGGAATGTTGCTAGTCAGTTTGAGATTTTTGAGGATGAAATTGAGTCTTGCATCCCAATTACTTGTGCTTATGGGAGCATTATCCTCTACAATTGTGTTTGTACAAGAAAGTTCATGTTAAGTTGTGGAGCCTAATACTTGCCACTTCGTGGAGCCATCTTCAAAGAGAGAACGAGAAGTTGGAGAAGATAGGTGCGATTTTGTCTTGTAATTTTTTTTTCATGCTGACGTAATCTCACATTGATGCAAACCTTTAGAAATATTGTGTATCTTTATTTATTTCTGCTTATTGATTGTTGATGGTGGAATAGGATTAGATTTCTAATTCTCAACATATCATTCTATAGCAGAGGCAATAGCATAAATAGAAGTATAGGACTTGGTTGTAAATTATCTGTAATCCCATAAAGACGAAAGCCCTATCTAAATATCGAAGAGCAGCAGTCCTGAGAAAAGAATTTGATACCAATTTATCCAATCTGCAGCTTGTTCCCATTATTTTCTATTCTAAATACTTGTTGGTATTGGGTGAATCCACTTGTAGCTTCCACTGTCCCAACAGGTTGGTCAAATTGCTTCAAATAAACCACTACAAACAACCAAAAGATTTCATCTTTAAACAGAAAACCAGGTACATTTAGTTAATCTCCAGTAGCACTCCAACAGTTCTTCTCTGGACGCTAAAAGCACACAATGCGCGGTCAAATATTTCACTGACAGTCTTTCAGAGAAATGATTAAAGCACCATAACACTAAATTAGAACCTTACAAACCATTGGCGTATACTCGAACTAACAATACTAGTTAAGTTACATAAGAAGATTCTACCAAGATAATTATATCCGAAATTGGCACTAACGAAATTGGCAGTAAGTAAAAGTGAATAAAGCATACCGAGAAGTAGAGAATTGAACAGTTTTTGCATTCCCCAATAAGATGCTGAGACGGATATTATGAGTTGTCAATTGCGTGAAATTTCGATTGTGAGGCAGCCGGAAAGCCGCCGGAGGCCGATTGAATAGCTAAGGCACATTCGTCAAAACAGCCATCAACGGGTTGCAGTTTTGCTGTTTGGTTTAGTTTCTGAGAAGTGAATAGAGGGGGTGGTGCAGAGCCATAAGAGGACATGGGTTGCCATTTGGTGCATTTTGGGTGGTTGCGGGCGAATAGAGTGGTATATGCTCTTGGTTTGTTGGTGAGCCATAGATCCGGGTGCGCATAGGAAATTTTGCAGCCCATTCCCCCAACTATTGCTATTTGAATCGCTTGAGTTTTCATGTAAATGTTGTTAATTTCACATTCACCCCCTCCCGCACCCCACTCCAACCCAACGCTGATCTTCCACAAGAGCTCTCATCGACTGAAAGGTATGACAACTCTTCGCCCCCATTTGTCTATCATTATTTCAAAAAATTGTTTGCAAGATTCACCACCATACATTCATCCAATAAAATATTCTACACACAAACTAATAACGTTACTTTACTTTTCAACCGCACATTCTCCAAAAAATACTATTCATTACTCTATTTTTCTCCCAATAATGGGAGACAAACACACCCTTCATCACCTAGGACTGTAGTTTGTTTTCGTTTCTTCTCAATTCTAATGAATTAGGAGAGACTTTTTTCATGCTCATCGCAAAGCAAGGAGAAGAAAACTCTCCGAGTTTTGCAATAACCATTAGGAAAATTGATGTATATTATTTGTATTGTTCTAAGAAACGAAATTTTGCTTCAATCACATCCACACTGAATTCCAAAATGCAGAAAATCCATAACCAATACTCGGAATGTTTTTTGGAATAATTCTTGGTATGCTTACTATACAAACAATGTTTATAGAACAAAGTCAACATGAATAAGGTCGTGTTAGTAACTATAGCGGTCCTAAAGTAGCAAATTTTTTTATCAAGTAAGTTTCAATAGGCACGAACGATGTATAAGATATTAGCACTGTCTCAAATAGAGATTTGGCGAAATAGACGTGTATTTGAAGATACAAATTACCTGCACTTGGAAAGAAAGAACCTACTCTGCGGACTCTTTCAAGTTGAGCCTCTCAATTTGTCATTGTATCTTGAGAAGTGCCCATTTCTTGAACGGATCTCATGGGAATTTTTTTTTATATTGCATTTCTCTTTCTTTATTCACCAAATAAATGAAGAATAAATTACTTTGATGTTCAGTTATTTCCATGCTATGGAGAAAACCCATGGTAACATGCGGCAATATACTGCAGTATCGGATGCTTCTAAGCAAAACCAAGAAATTGGGACCTAAGTTAAAAGCTGCTAACTTTGTCCACTACATATTCCTTCCCATTTCTTTTGTGAGTGAAAATGGCACATTTCTTGAAATGGAACAACGTTTTATGTAGAAATCACATGGATATGTAGAGAAAAAATGAATTGTACTCTTTCGCCTTTTAACAGAGTAATATAT